GACAACAATGTGGAAAAACCCTTAAGCGGGTGCTGCTTGGAGAGTGCCAGCGGGGACTGCCCTTAGTATGCTCATGTATTTATTGGTAGGAATGACTCTGGGACCAAGTTCATTGAAGTTGATCCGCATGAATGTCAACTCTCCTGTTAACTCCAATGAAGACAAGTGGCCCAAACGAAAAGCACATGCACCAATCAATTAAAACAACTATTACTAATTTGAATCGGGTTTTGTGGCCTAATGGTTCGACTCCAAACTTTAAGTATCTGGGTGATGTGGTTGGAGTTTCGAACTTCACCATTGTCGTGAACTCCACCAAAAAGCAGTTTGATGACCGCACGCCTCATTTGAGGGAATGAAATATTCACCCCGTCTGAAAACCAATTACTAACAATTAACTTACAAACTTTTTAAGCATTTTCCTTGTTAAAAAAAAAAAACTATTACTACATTTAAGTCTTTCTAATAAGATAAAAAGTATGTACAAAAATATTATTAAATTTTATAATAAAATTTTATTAAAAATTTGATATATTATTAATTTTATTATATTTGATAAAAAAATTAAGATAAAAAAGTTATTAAATGAATCTAACAGAAAAAATTACAAAAAAAAAATTAAAATAAAATGAGAAAAAAAGATTATAAGTTATTAATTGTGTTTAAGAAAATAAAAGTTAAAAATTACTTTTATCTTTTATTTATTGTAATTTTAAGATATTTAAGTACTAAAATATCTTTATAAAATCTTAAAAAATAGTATTTTTAGAGAAAGTAAACCAAACACCTCGTAACAGTTTTCAAATTAAAGTATAAGATTGTATTTGAGATTACTCTAGAATGCTATAATTGTAGTTTTTTTAATATTTCACTATAAAAAATTAGATTTAATCCCCATTTTAGTCCCTTAATTCAAGTATTTTGCATTAACTTTGTCTCTCAAATCCATTGAATACTTTTTTAATTCTTTAATTCGAAATTTCTACAACAAACATGTCCCTCCAACAACTTCCATTCAACTCCGCTTATTAAACTAACGGGTTACTTCAGCCTTTTTAAAATTTTAATAACTTGGCAGTTACACCTAAAAAAATTATTTAGCTGGACAAATTTTACTCCATCTTACTACTTACCTATTCAAAGGGCTTGATTTAATTTGTAGAATCCACGCTAGAACACAAGAAAAGAAAAAAGGTAAATAAAATAAAATAAAGTCCCTGACATCTTTAAATTTTCTCTTTGTTTTGTGAATTTTAAATTCCGTAAGAAATTGCATAAATTTGTAGATTTTTTTTATTTATGTAATATATATATCTTATGGACTCCAATTACAACAAAGTCATTGATCTTGAACAAGAGTGAAGCATGAATATTATTGAATAACAGGTATATATTTTAAATTTTGTTTAGGGTTTTGATTTTTGTAATTATAGTCTTTGAATTGACTTTTTCTAATGAGATTTCTAATGAGATTTTTTGATAAACATAGTGCAAAAAATGGGTAATTTGGTCTTGAGATGCATGATAGTAAAGAAAAAAAAAACAATATAAATCTCCATATATAATGGATGTTTGCATTTGTCTCATTATCTTTATGAACAATGATTTAATTTTTTTATTAAATATTTAAAGTTTGAATGATAGTGGTAGAACTTTTATTTGCCTATATTGTAATATAAATTGAGATATATTTTATATTATTATTGTATTATGTAAGATAACAATATATCCGAGAACACACAAGCTTCCCATTGTACATATGCATGTGGGTAGTAGATTTTTTTTTTTTGGGTAGTATTAGAAGGATGTAGTACATTGATGGTGAGTGTTAGAAGTAAAAAGTAGAACCGGAGAAGTTAACTATATCTAACTTGTTCACTAAAATTGGTACAACTATGTGTGATGCTAATACGGTATATCAAATACGGTATTTGGAGTTAGGAAAAACAATCAATAATATGGGTTGATTCCTATTTGTGATGATGAGTCTGTTGATTCTTGTTTGTGTGGTTTCCATTCCATAGTTTGCAGAAGATTTTCCTAGTCATGATATAGATAAATGTTCAAATAATGTTGGTACTCTACGTGGTGATTTTGTTGCCAATGAAGAGATTGGAGTTGATGGTGGTAGTAGGGTGCATCCTACTAATGAGGCCATGCAAATTGAAAACTCTGGTGCGGATGTACCCAGAGTTGAGAATATGAATGAAGTCATTGAGGATCAAGTAAATGGTATTTTTAGAGACAGCTTATATTTTCTGTGTATGATTTTATTAGAAAATGATGTATGGTTATCACAATTATATAATAATTTCGAATTTAAATAATATTTAAAGTAAAATATTAAATATATTATGTAATAATTATTTAATTATTTTATAATATACAATAATATATTGAATTATTTTATATTCTTCAATATTTTTACTAAATCTATCCAAATACACATTTTAACTGTGT